CTCCGACCCAAAGATCGCGCGTGCACTCGGATCGGAGGTGTGGCGGCGGTACACTCGCGCCAAGCCTGGCACCGACCGCCACGCCGAGAGCACGCCGGGATTGGCGCAAGGCAGTAGCATCCTGAGTCGCCTCATTCAGACGACACTCAACGGACTCTCCGTGGACCGGGGGAGGTTGAGAACGAAGGCACCCGCACCCGACGGGCAGGACGTCCGGCTCGACTAGGCCGATTCAACCTCAGGACCACAAGTGGCTAGCCGAGGGCACCGCCGAAGAGGACACCCGTAGTCAGCGGGACCGAAGAGAGCAAAGACGCCGACGCCGACGGAACCGCACAGAGCGCCACGCTACGAGGAGACGCTGCAGAATGCAGAGAAACGAATGGACACGGGCACATCGAAGCCCGCACACCGAAGCCACCGAGGGCGCCGACCCCACCAGCTCCCTCCGAGACTCACGTCGAAGGCATCCGAACGAAGCGAGCGCGCGCGGCAGCCCCCCGGGCCCATGGGCGACGTCGCGCCGATGGCCAAGCCCTGCAAGTCCTCGCGCTCGGCGCCCCGCTGCCCAATCGACGCGCGCAGCGGGGTGCTCCGCCCCGGGCGCCCACCGGAGCCGACGCGGCGGGCCCCACCACCGGCCGCTGCGCGAAACCACCTCCGCGCACCCCGGAGGACCGCCCCATAAGCTTCGGCGTTATCATGTTGAGTTGTTTTGCTCGTTCTGAACGTTGACCGGCGATTGAAGGATGCTTGAACTCGCATAGAACCGTTGGGGGGCCCGTGGACGACCACCCAGAGAGGACATGGCCATCTCAGTGTGCGAAACGACCATGGGGCTAGACGCGCCCATAGAAATATCAGTCTTTGTTTCGCGGTCGCCCGGTGGGAGGTCCTCATAGAGGTCCTCCGTCCACCGCGCGCGCGGGGGTCACAACGGACGTCCAACGGACGTCCAACGGACGTGGGACAATTCGTTTCAATTTTTTGTTTCGCACACTGGGCCATCTTGCTGCTTTGCCGGCGAAAGCCCCCGCAAATTGCAGCTCGAAACTCAAAACTGCAAGTCGATGGAAAACTCCTTTGAGGTATGGTGTCCCTCCCGTCTCCGGTCTAGCGGCCGTCCTTCGCCTCCGACGACGACAGCATGGACCCGCTCGCCTTCGACAACCCCGACGACGCCCGCTCGTCCTTCGCGACCAGGAACGCCCTCCACTTCCCGTAGCTGCCCTCGCTTCCGAAATCACCTTTCGAACTCGCCGTCCGGCTCGTCGGGACCATAATACTACACGTACACAGGCCTAAAGTTCTCTGAGGGCTCCCGTGAGTGAAATCGAGCATGGGGGTCTAGAATTGTAAAATTCGACCGGGTCCGGTGGGGGCGTACTTGGGGAGGCGTCGGGCGCCCCCCCCCCAGGCCCCCAGGGAGCTCCTGGCCCAGTGGCTCGGATCATGCATAGATTCTTTCTCTTCGTGTCGCCGTCGTCGTCCGCAGCCCGCTGGTTTTGGGCGGGTCGCGCCCCCTAAGGCGTGGGCGGCGCGCCGGAGGTCCCCCACAAGGTGTGAGCGGCGGTGTTGCGCCCCTTTTGAAGGGCAAGCGGCGGTGTTGAGGTCCCTGTTGAAGTGCAGGGCTTGGGGGGTTGAAGCCTAACTTGAAGCGGCGTTTAGCATATCCTGCCGGCGGGATATGTTAGGGCCCGGCCAGCGACGGAGGGCCACGCGCTCGCGCTCGCATGGGCCCCGCGAGGGCGTGGACTTACGGCGCCGTCCGCGCCTTCTTCGCGCGCCGCCCGGCCTTGGTCTTCGCCCAGGGCACGCCGGCGCCCGCGCGGTAGGACCCCCGGGGCGCGCCGCGGTCGTCGTAGTCGCAGGCCACCGCCCGGCCGTCGACCTCGACGGCCGGCTGGCCGCGGACGGCGGCCTCGGCGGCGGCCTCCTTGACGAACTGGACGTAGCCGAAGCCCTTGCGCCGCTGCGTGTGGTTCCAGACCGCGAGGCGGACGTCGGCGACGGCGCCGTAGCGCGCGAACGCGCGGCGGACGGCGTCCTCGCCCGCGTCGTAGGGCAGGTTCCGCGCGAAGACCGTGCGGCAGCCCTCGGGCCGCGGCCGCGGCGGCGCGGCGCGGGCCGCGGCGCCCGCGCCGCGGGGCCGCGCGCGCGCGACGGCGACGTAGCGGCCCCGGAGGACCGCGCCGCTCCGCGCGACGGCCGCGGCCGCGGCGGCCGCCGTGCCGAGCTCGACGTGGGCGTAGCCCCGGAGCCGGCCGCTGTCCTGGTAGCGCGGCAGCCGGAGCGACACGACGGGGCCGCAGGCCTCGAAGAAGCCCCGCACCTCCTCCTCGCTGCACTCGTAGGCCAGGCCCTCGCAGTAGACCGTCCGCGCCGCGCACTCGGCGTCGTCGCCGGGGACCGCCGGCGCGTCGGGGGACGCGGACCGGGCCCGCTTCGACATCGTGTGATTTATCGCCTGAGCTTTTGCGTCTTGACCGTGTTTCACTTCGCCCTAGCTAGAGCTTAGCGGGCCGCGCAAAGCTTAGCAGACGCGAAGCTGCCCGATGGCCTCTCAGCGTCATCTCGGGCGCGCGGCGCCGCCAAAATGCAAAGATGCGCGACGACCCCACTGAGTTTATGCTGCGCAAGCGGGAGGTTCAGGCGCACGCGAAGACCCAGCATCTGGACGATTGCGTGGCGACTCAAACGAGTAGTTTAGGGGGCTGGAATGCGGCGCGTTCGTCTCCCCGGACCCATAAGGCTAGACTTTGAGCCATTGCAGCATCGGGGATCGTTTGCCGTCACCCCGGCACCATCTCGTTACAAGGATTCGGCCGTAGGGCTCGAAACCGGCGTCCATGCCGCATCCGATGCGGACGCGCGTGCGACGCGCGGCGGACCGCCGACGTCGATTCCGGCTCCTTGACGTCCCAGAGGCTGCCCTTCGGGCCAGAGACCGTCGGCGTCATCATGGTCCCAGCGATGGACTTGATCCTCTCTCGGAGCGTCCCCGGTGCGGCCGACACCGGGGGCGTCGTCATGGGCTGCCGAGATCGTGGTCCGAATCGACGCCGATGGCACGGGAAGACGGTTTTTCATCATCGTGGGGGGCGCCAAGGGGTGCCCGCACACGCGGACCCACGGCGGGCACCACGACGCCGCCGCCACGGCGCCCCACGGTCCTCGCCATTCGGGCTGCTTCGGGGTCCACAAGCTTAGCACTGGGACCGAGTGCTAAGCTTCGATTGATCGGCAAAGCTCAAGTCGAGCTTAGCCGCCCGGCAAGTGAAACACGGTCTGAGCTAACTTTTGCGTCCTGAGCTCCGTAGTATTGTATGTGCCTTACGTCCAACGCCCCGCATGTGTCTTATCGAGTCACCCACCCCCTTAAGCTACCTCCTAGGGGTGGGCGCGCGCCCGGGCTGCCCTACTAGCATCGTCTGGAGAATTCGTCAAGTTTATCGCCTAGAAATGTTGTTATCGATGCTCTCACGAGTAGACTCGGGCACGGTACCGCGCAGACAAACTGTCAGCGAGGTTATTATAATGTACGAAGACGGGGGGTATCAAGGGAGCATGTAATCCTAGTTAGGGTACTGGTTGCTCATTGTCTGTTGTCTCCCGGGGAACGAGCCGTGGACTCGGAGATGATCGTCATTAGAGCCTGAGGCGTCACTGTAGCGGGAATTGCCCCTTCAAGGTATAATTCTCTTACTAACTTGAGGTTCACAGTGCAGTGGATATATACCAGCCCAGTCGCTTACTTGTATCTTTTGTGCCGCGAGTCCCAGTCACAGTGCAAGTCAGGTGAAACTGTAGCGGGTATTGTCCCTTCAAGGTATACTTCTCTTACTAGCTTGAGGTTCACAGTGCAGTGGATATATGCCAGCTTAGTTGCTCACTGGTATCTTTTGTATGAGGATACGCGGATACGGTACAGTACGCTACTTTACTACTATCCTACTACTATCATGCTAGTATTGTATCTACCCGTGGTATCTTCTTCTTTCTTTCTCTTCTTTCAGATGCAACAAGAACCAAAGGAATCGGTGGCCATGGGGCCGAGAACGAGACCTCCAAAGTTGTGGTTTACATGGCCATTTTAACGATTTTTAACCTTCCTCAGCTCATATCTCGCTTCGGGCTTGGATCGGAATTGTTGCATTTTAACTTTCCTCCACAATTGTCGATCAACGGATTTCGAGTTTTTAAAAGAGAACAATGAAGTCCACTTTTGCGAGTCGTTTAGCTCGCGCGGGGATCCAGCAAATGGACGGTGGGATGTGATCCGCGCAACCTGACGGAAAGATGGAAGATTCGAATGTGTGCGAGGCCAAGTGTCCCGTCGCTGATCACACGGTTTGAGAAGCGGAGTATCCAGAGAACCTGTTCCTACTAGAAATCAAAGAAGAACTTGGACCTCACGAAGACGGTGCTAGATGGGATACTACTTGACTGAAACCTCGTGAGTGACGTTCAACCCCATTACCGCCTTTGCTCCTCGGTGATGTTTGCGATTACGACACAACTTAGCCCTTTTGACACGGTGCGTGGGTCTTGTTTGGAATCATCTATTTGTGCGACCTCGACTCCTGGTAACAAGAGTGTGTTGCGTACGAAACATCAGGCTTCACAGCGGCATTGGAAGTGATTTACGACTTGATTCTCTCGGGTTGAGTTCCCAGAAAGTACTACGGGTTGATCGATCGAATCTGTTCATGAGCTGAGTAAGCGACAGCTAGTTCTAACGAGCGCGTTTTAGATCTTCCAGGGAGCTGCCCTGCTGCCATGGCTGTGTACTACTCGATGGTATAGGAATGCGATATCGACGAGGCAACCACATTCAAAAACGCCAGATGCGACCGAAACGACCATGGTTTATCAATTCTCACGAATCCAACATTTCGGGCACTCCTGGAAGGACAATGCACTGGGGCGTTGGATGCTATCGACACGCCACTCATGGCAGCTGGATTGACTTCAGCGGGTTTGACCGCACTTACGGAAAAACTTTCGCAATCATTTTCAATCAACCTACCCCTCGTGTTTCTGCTGAATAATCCCACTGGTCGCCAGGCAGCTATTGCTTTGCACTGTCTACTCGAGAGTACTGAGCCTGCTTCGCTCAATATGACCGCCTTGACGCTAAACCCTCAAAGATCTGAATACAAGATGCGAATATTCTTTGATGGGCAGTTATTTCATCTTCCGCCCGCACGGACTGCTCAGGGCTGGCGCAAGTTTCTCGCGTGTTGTGAGATCACCAATGCGAGTGTCCCCCATGATTGAGCGCTTTACTGAGATACTAATCATAATCGACTTCCCATATCTGCGTCGTATGGGAGCTTTCTATCAAGCGCCATTTGCGTCCAATAGGCCAGCTGGAATATGTCGAAATCGGAATCTCGCACGGTCAATCCCGTGCAGCTACAGCTGCTTGAACTTTCGCTCGCATCCTTTGTGTCGCGTGGCAGCGAGCGCTCTTTGCTGGCTTACAAGCTCGCGGGGGTTTACGTGGGTATATTTACCATTTTGCCGGGCGGTCCTTCTTCTGACCCCTCCAGTGTGAGGCTAGACTCAAACGTGAGCCTCTACGACGGGACGGCAAATTCAGCGTCGATAGCATCGGGCCGCATTTCTTACGTGCTCGGCCTCACCGGCCCTTGTTTCCCCGTCGATTCCGCGTGTTCGGCCTCTCTCGTTGCCGCATATCTCGCAACGGTAGGGTTGATGTGAACGGAGTGCGAACAAGCGTGCGTCGCCGCGGGAGGCGTCCTCGAACAAGACATGTATGCCGCATTCAGTGTAGCTGGCATGCTGTCGAATCGCGGCCGATGCCACTCCTTTGACAGCCGCGCTGATGGATACTGTCGTGGCGAAGGCTGCGTCGGATTTATCTGTGAATCTGCCGGTAGTGAAATTGCGCATTAGATTCGCTCGACTGCCGTTCGATAAGACGGCCCAAGCGCGAGCCTCACTGCCCCAAACGGGGCCTCCTAGCGTTCCTTGCTCTGAGCCGCTGGTTGCGCTGGGGCCAGTAGTATCACACTCGAAGCCCATGGAACGGGCACTGCGCTTGGCGATCCTATTGAAGTCGGAGCGGCCGTGAGCGCGCTCTATGGTGCTCAGGTGCACTGCCGAACCATTAAGAGCAATGTCGGGCATTTGGAGGCGACTGCTGCGGTTGCGGGGTTGGCGTCTCTGATTTCTCTTCCGTCCACAAACGTTCAGTTGTGTGCCTTGCGTTATCTTAATTCGCATCTTGGGTCGTTGGAGCTCGACCTGTTCTGTTTTCCAGCTGACGTAGTGCCATTGGGCCGCCCTACCATGAGTCGATTGAGCTCGTTTGGGTACAGCGGGACGATCGCCCATGGAGTGTTTTATATAAGTGAAACGCGTTGCTTGTCGGCCTGTTAGACCGAATCACTAATTTCATTATTTCGCCTTTAAACTCGTGCTCCTAGCATTGTCAAAGTGATGAGGTTGGCTTTCTGAGATAATTGAGAAATCACAACAGTCACTTCTTGCAGAGCACGGCGCGGAAGGTTGTCACCGACAATACTTTCATTGTTTTCTGATCACGTCGTTGCGCGAAAGGTTCTATTTCCCGCTGTCGGATACTCAGAAATGACCTTTGCTAGCACCAATAAACAAGCGCTTGCGAGTGTGGCATTTCTGCGACCTTGCGTGTTGCCTCGGTTGGGGTAGGTGATGATGAGTCACACCGAATCAATTCGTGGACGAATCGAAATCGGACGCTAGAGCGGGACCTCTGACATTTCTTTTGATGTATGCGCAACCTTGGAGCTATGAGATTCAGATCGAACTGTGTGGCCGAGAGTTGGATTGAAATCAAAAAATCGGGAGTGTCGAGCCATATTTTGTCCACTAAAATCCTAGGCGGAGACTTCTGCTTGCGTATAGTAATCGCAATCCTTGAGAACCTTCGTTCCGGCAGGTATTAGGTTGGTGGTCCTCAACGTTACGTAGAACCATGAACAAAAATGGATGGTGGCTTGGGCAACGAACATTGAAATACATGTTTCTAATGCTTAAAAAGATTAAACCTTCATTCTTGCTTGCAAAAAAGGCACTTCCGACATGCGCCTGAGTGCGCACCACTTTTTGTGGAAGCTTTTTCCTCATAGTGAATCCACGAACATCGATCAATCTTCGACGCCCGTACCAAGAGCATGCGAGCAAGCCTTGGAGCTTACTCAAAATTGACCCTCGAAGAAATTGAATATGCTCCGACTGGTGGTGCGCTATGTCACCCACTCTGGTGGCATTTAAAAGCCTGTATCCTTGAAATTGGAAATCTCACCAATTGCGGCGGACTACACTCAATAAATAGTTTGCGGAGCACCATCAATCCCGTTGCCAGGGATGCAATTACTCAGTCTCTCTCAGCTGCCACTGCAAAGCCTAAATTTGCGGACAAGCCATGTTTTAAGTTGAGTTGTCACTGCCTTCTAGAACATGTGATAGACAAGCATGCCCGATGATCACGTATTCACTACTGTCAATTCTGCCGTACTTTGACTCCTAGGCACGGAGGTGCAGCCAGACGCACCTCTTATGGCGGCAGGTTTGGACTCTCTTGGCGCGACGGAGCTCAGCCAGAGTCTGAGTGTCGATCTCAACACTCAGCTGCCCGCAACCGTCATGTTTGACTACCCTAGTCTTGCCAGTGTGTCAGAATATCTATAAGACCACTGCTAGCCTGCTGCTGGGCCAGCCAATGGTGAGCGGAGGTAACCTGTTTTAGACACAGTGCGCGATACGATTCAGCAGCTGCTTGGGACTGCCGTTCTTGATGATGTTCCATTGATGGGCGCAGGACTTGATTCACTCGGTGCTACTGAGCTAGTCGAAAAACTGAATAGTCAACTAAGCGCAGATCTGCAGCCTACAGCCCTGTTTGATTATCCGACCGCAAGCGGCGTGACTAGTTTTCTTGTACATCACGTGGCTTTGCCAAACCAAGACGGAAACCTGAGCCACGCACGAGTATGAGAGCTCATGGATTGTATCTCTAGCGCCGCACAAGTGTTGTCCTACGCCCTGACTCTCCCACTCGTCGACCATTTGTGCCAAACTGGAGACGTCGAGGGCTTCTCGCTTGCAGGTTGTGACACGGGCAAGTGCGTCCCCCTTGATAGATGGGATATCGATGCAGTAGATGTGCGTGGTTTCACGGAGGATGCACGTTTGCGTGTGCGCTATGGATCTTTTCTGGTATACAAAAAATTCGATAACATCATGTTTCGCATTAGTCCAGCAGAGGCAACTTCGCTTGAACCACAACAGCGGATGCTTCTTGAAACTGGATATGATGCGTTTCACCGGGGAGGATTTGGCCGATCCTCTCTGTTTGACTCAGATACTGGCACGTTTACGGGCATGATGAACATGGATGCAGAATCGATATTACCGACCGTCCCAGGGCCCTACGACATGACTGGTATAAGCTATTCTGCCGCCGGGGCGCGCATTTCCTACGCATTTGCAATGCGAGGGCCGTGTGTTGTCTTTGACACCGCGTGCTCTTCGAGCCTGGTAGCGTTGCATGTTGGCCGATGATGTATTCAGCAATCGGAGTGTCCCACGGCGCTGGTCTCAGGCCCCAACTCTATTATCGTCATGTTCCCGTGGCACTCCGGACCCGCCCTGATAGGAATGTTATCTGCTCGTGGTCGATGCCACACCTTTGATGCGCGGGCGGATGGGTATCTTCGCGGAGAAGGTTGCGGTGCTATGCTGGTTGGATAGATTCGGTCCAAAGTAAATGTTCGAGGCTCTTCCGCCCGACACAATGGCCAGAGTGCAAGTTTCACGGCGTTGAACGGGATGTCGCAACAGCTGCTTATCCGAGCCTCTTTGAATGATGCTGGCGCTGGAACTGAACGTTTCCTCGAAGCTCATGGCACAGGCACAGCCTTGGGTGATCCAATCGAAGTTGGTGCGGTGTCATCGGTCCTTTTAGACCAGGGCAGCAAATGCTTCGCATGTGGGATTAAGGCCAACGTTGGGCATACGGAATCAATGGCAGGTGTTTCTGGGACTCTGAAGGTCTTGACCTTGTTACAACAGGAGGTTGGACCGCCAAATGCGCAGACTCGCTGCGTAAATCCACAAGTATAGCAAGTTTGACACGCTGATTTGGCCATTCTCTCTGAAGCTAGTCCAGGCTTGCAAGATGCGACCGTCCAACTGGCATTACACGATAGTGGCGGAGTGAGCTCATTTGGATGGAGCGGCATCATCGCGCATGGCGTATTGTCGAGACAATTGGATACTTCGCAGAACATTCTCAAGACAGCAAGGTGGCGTCTTCACGTTATCGCGCGGGCAGGTGACTGATATGATTAAAAGGGATCACCAAGAGATTGAACCTAGATTTAGAACCGGTTGTTCAAGCGAAAGGTTTTGTGAAGTTACTACGTACGAACTTGCATATCGACGTCAATACAACGTGTGCATATACAGTCCTTTTGTCGCTGGTAGGCGATGGACTGCGTGCATCTCTTGGTGACGTTCGCTTCAATCACTGAATCATGTCACAGACTCACGACAGCGTGCTTGGTTGTCGCTTTGACTCTACGGCGCATACTTGGGCTGTCGTGGCGTAGTCATGACAGCCTCGAGTGCTCGCATGTGGTGTGGTGCTACAGGATGGTTCGCAGGCTGAGTTCTCCAAGATTGTTCACCAACCAGTAGGTCCGCAGACTCGGACCATCTGCAGCGAAGGGCTCGGCATGCTGCAGTTTGATAATTTTGGCACGGCTGTGTTACAGTTTCCAACCTCTTGAGAGTCGTAGACATAGTCTGCTGAATTTTTCCTAATGTCGTTGGCAACGGCCTTCGATAAGGGTGAGATTTGTGGCCCGTAAGGAATACTCGCAATCGACATGTATTCGCATCAGAGCGCCGATACGCAGATAAAGCACCTGTATCGCGCGATGGTCGCCGATCGCGCCGTGCGTTTCCTGGTTGTGGATGCCGCGTCCTGGGACAATACCGTTGTAGCGAGCGGGATCCACCTACAATGACGCGGCGCTTCATTGGCTCCATTAAACGCCGCAGACAAAGCTTTCGAACTCGATGTGGTTGGAATTGCCGCTTTGTCCTACTACGCTCCTAATCTAGCCCTGAACGCCTCAAGCGCGGAAGCATTCCACGTCAGTCCCGGCAGATACACGATGGGGCGCGGGCAGGAAAATATCACTTTCGTCAGCGACGATGAAGACACTGTGTCTCTAGCGTTGTCAAGTTTAAGTAGACTACTTTGATAGTGTGAGCTGGCCTTTATTGAAGTTGGGCGCCTCGAGGTTGGCACAGAAAGCGCTGTGGACCGCGGCAAGTCAACCAAGTCGTTCTTGATGTCGTTATTTGAAGCTGACGACCACCACAGTGTTGAAGGGCTCGACACTTTCAACGCGTGTTATGGTGGCACAAATGCCCTGTTCAGTACCACCAACTGGGTCCAGAGCAGAGCATGGAATGGCACGTACGGTGTCGTGGTTTGTTCCGACCCGGCGGTCCACCCAGATCCTGCTCATATCTCTGGTATTGGGGTGTCGTCAATATCCCTGGTGGTAGCGTCGCAAGCAGCATTGCTGCTCCAGCGAGAGCGCGCGACATTCATCAAGCACTCGTGGGACTTCTATCGGCCCGTCGGGTGGCGCACAAATGATGCGATTATGGACATCAACATCGCAACTGGTCAATACGAAGAGGCCATGATGTGGTGCTAGGGCTGATTTAGTGAAACGGTGGGTCGACGGGATCTATTGACAACATTCGATCTAGTCGCGTACCACAACAACGCTCCTTATCATTCAAAGAGGAACCTGTGACTCATGTGTGAAGTGATGTACGGTAAACTCACCAAGGCGCAACACGAGAATCTGTTCCAAAAGCATGTCGAGGCTGGCATTGCCATGAGTGCCCAAAATGCTACCACCTACACGTGCCCGGTCTACGCGAGTCTGCTGTCGTTCGCTCTCACGACTGGCTCTGGCCTGGCTAATCAACGCATCCTATGCATGGCGTATGGATCTGGTTGCGCCGCTAGTATGTTCGGACTGGACGCTACTGCTGCGCCCGTGTACGCCTCAGATGTGCTCGCCAGGCTGCGTAATCGGTAGCAAACACCAATCGAGGACGCCCTACTACTCGTCAGCGCTTTTGAGATGACACATGGATGATTTGGATACGAGCCGTCACATCACGAGTGCTGATAGGATGCAGCCTTTTATCTCAGGAGTGTCAGTGCAATGGGCGTTCGTGCCTACGAAGCTCATTCTGCAGTCACGTTGATCAAGGTAGACGCGCTGGAATCTTCTTGTGTTGTCCGCGTCGAGCTAGGCTAGGACTCGGTGACCGACTCGTTGCTCGAGGAGCTCATCCCGGTCCTGGATCCTGGACGAATCATAGTTTTCGCTTTTGCGACTGCTGCTGAAAATGGGGTCGAGAGCGTCGTGGCAGAGAAACTCCTTCTCAATTACTTCTTGTCACGAAGCAGTCATCTTCCCATCGTTGTCTCGAGTCGCGGGCATACCACAGGGGGGAGAATGCTGATTACTGCGGTGCAGT